AGTATTAATTTTCAGAGATTTCTGAGACTGTGTTTCTGAGATGTTTGTTTGTTTTTTCATTATAAATATTAGAATAGTTAACATAATGCTAGTAGATATAATAATGATAAGCACATAAATATAAACAAGAAGCATTTTTGAGGACGCTTCGTCTGTTTTTTTTTTCTTTTGATTTAGCGAATATTTAATTTAGTTTAAATGTTTTCCATTTGCTATTGAAACTGTGAAAAATTACTAATTGAAATCATTAAGATTTATAATAATACTTTTATTTAAATGGATAGTTCCTTCAAAACTAAAAATGCTGTTATTTAATCACCCTCATGTCATTTAAAACTGATATCACTTTCTTCTGTGGAACACAAGATATTTTGAAGAATGTTGATAAGCAAAATTGACATCCATTTTATGGACCCAAAAAAATCTAAAAATACCTTAGTTTATGTTGCACAGTAGAAAAAAAGTAAACTGTAGGGAGTTAATATGTTAGAATATTATGTGCAAAGAGAACAGTATGTCATTTTTTTGGTCTCCCACACCATCAGTTCATTCAGTTAAAGGACAGTGAGAACAGAGAGAGAGAGAGAGGTCTTTTTGCCATCTCATAACTGTCTTGCTTTTCTGTTATTGATTGTTTTTGTCTGGGGTATTGACTGCTTTGCAAGGGCAGCCTGAGTGTAATAGGAAAATTACAACGCTCTTTTGTCCTTTGACTAATATGGCACATAGACACCGCTCTGCCCTTCTGCACATCTGATGCTGCTCACTGTGGATGGAGCTTCTGCCTTGTCAGACTGAGAGAGAACAATCCAGAACTTAAGAGGCCAGATGCACTTGTTAGCTTTTGCATGTAAAAGACCCACCATAATACTGAATTTGTTTTTTTATTAGTTTGTTATTTTTTATTAGTTTGTTTTTCAGTACTGAAAAGTACAGTATTGATAATCAGTTCATTACAGTGGCGAGGCCAGAAATCTCCAAGTGGGTCAGTAATGTGAAATTGGATGGATGTTTATTCTGTGCATCATTATCCAAAGGTATTATTTATGATTTTATCAATGTGGGTTTTTTGAATGAGTGAATTAACCCTTTAGGTGCCAGGGTTTTTTGGAAAAATGCTGGATTTTGACATCAAGATTTTAAAAGCTTGTGGCTTGAAAGGGCTTAAAGATAGAGATCTACTGTAAATTAGAAAAATGTTGGGCATGACCGAAAGTTTATGTGGGGTGTAAATATACTCATCTAATTTGCATATTATGACGTCATCAGGGGGCGGCCCTCTTAAATGTCATAATATTCAGGAAATAATAGATATTGAATTGATGTTTTAACTTATTTATTAACGTTTTTTTTTTTTTTTTGTCTTTTTATCCTCATTCCAAATGATCATAAAAGAGGAAACAACAATAAAACAGGAGAAAAAAAATTATTACTATTTTTAACTTATTTTTTAACGTTTTTTTTTTTTTTTTTGTCTTTTTATCCTCATTCCAAATGATCATAAAAGAGGAAACAACAATAAAACAGGAGAAAAAAAATTATTACTATAGTACTATACTATATAGTAGTAAAACACATGTGACCAGTAGCCTACTTTTTGATCAGTTCATCAGTAATATTCAGGAAAAAATAGATATTGCCCTGCCACCCCCATCCCCGTTGGGCCAAGGGTCGAAATGATCACTTGTTTGTGCTTTGTGAACACTCTCGCCTTGCACGGCGGTACCATTGCGCTGCAAAGATGTACCGGGAGAAGCGCAATTATTAGACGACCGATCGTCATTTCCAAAAGGCAGTTATTCCCCTTCAGAGTCAGAATCGGCGAATAACATTTGCAACACATCCTCACGGTACAACTTTTTATTAGCCATTTGGTGATTTTCTCTCACAAATCTCACAGCTTACACGCACGCTATGAACTGAACTGCTTCCGCATCAATGACAGATAGCTCACTTGCTCTGCTCTTTCCTCGAACACTTTGAATAGGAACATGACGTCATTTTGGTCTAGAATCAAAGTACTACATGTCTGCCATCTAGTGGTAGGGAATACAAATGAGATATTACACCATATTAGGAACTACAGTCTATTTGATTAAGTATGACGTCTTGTCGCAATTTTGCGACTTTGGCGCTAAGAGGGTTAAAGCATTATCAGTTGAGTTTCTAACAGCTCCCTACTTTGGGTACGTTTACACAAAATTGTGCTAAAATAGTTTTTCGCATACAGACGACAACGTTGTCAAAACGATCCCCATTCACAAAAAAAAAAGACTTGAAACACTATATTATGCATGCCATGCCAGTAGTTGGCGATGCCACTTTCTAAAGAAACATTTAATATGGATGCTCATGACATCACCATTTTCACAAATTTGTGTTTTTGCTAGTTTACATGGAGACGATAACGGTATCATTTTCAAAAACTTGCACTTTGAAACCCGTTTTCAAAAGTTTGCGTTTTCAGACCCCCAAAACGCTATTGTCATTTAAATAAACGGCCAAAACGTATAAAAAGTTTTCCATTTTTAGTTGAAAACGGTGCCCTTTAGATATGGCCAAAATCATTACCAAGTCATTTTCAACCAAAATATTTACCACAGTTTAATTCATTTTCATCCACTGCAAGGAACAACATCATGAAATAGTAATTGCCCGAAATCAAAGACATAACAAATTGAAATGATAGCCATTAAAGCATCACACTTTTCAGACAACTGATTATATTATTTGTTCTCTTATAGTATTTTTACGCTTGTTTAGAACAAAACTGACAAATAAAATATAAATTAGGGTGACAGCATCAAACTTGAAAAGATAAATGTATATATTTCTAAATATTTAGTAATAATAATAATAATACTGAGTTGAAGACATACTGACTCAAGAAAAACTGAAGATTGATTGATTGATTTCAATCTGTTAATTTATAAGAAATGTCTAAATTCATCAGAATGAATTGTCTTTCCCAAAATCTAAATATGAGAATGAGTCGTTTAGTATCAACCAAATCAATAAAATGACTTTGATGACAAATGAAAACAACTCAAAAACTGAGGCAAAACCATGTGACAAATGATCTGTGTTGCATTCATATAAATAGCAGTTGCAACACTAACGGAGAGCCAAGCCGATCCGTTATAGGCACAAAATAACATTATTACGTCTTTGTAAAAATACACAAATTATAGATGTGGTTATTTTGCAGTTGTATTCATATTCTCGCTGCTTTGATTGGGTAGAGCAGACATTATTCTGTGCAGTGGCCTCGTCCTGGGTTCAGTGTATTTAAAATGGTCTGTTTTACCTGGTATTTAATGTATGGAATTGTTCCTGCCTATGTACAGTGCTTGAGTTCAGTCATTTATGATGTGGTCAGGCAGCTCACCGTCAGGTGATTTCCAGACCACAAGCGTAACTTAACCAAGTGCTGCTGTACTCTCTGTTTGTTTTAGGTGATGGTGTTTGTACATGCCCGCAACTCCACCGTCCGCACCGCCATGAGTCTGATCGAGATGGCCAAGAACCGGGGAGAGCTGTCATTCTTTCAGGTCGACCAGGGTCCAGACTACGGCCAGTGTGAGAAACAGGTAAATGCTTGCAGTACATATCAAAGTACATTTCACACTGTGCTTTCCAATCCCTTTTTCATTATTATAATTTGGTGCAAGGATCTTTTTAAAGATCCACGCTTTTTCTGGACAGTTGGCGCCTCGGATCTGAGGATAAATAGAATAATCTCTTCAGCGTTCGCTTTCCTACATATTTTATACCCATCATAGAAAACCTGCATCGCACTTCTGTTTAAGACAAAGAAATTCAGAGCGGGTTCTCTTCAGCCGGACTCGGACGCAGCCAAACAAAGCGGTGTTATTTATGAGCAGTTATTCACCGGCTCTGCAGGAGAGAAAAGTGAGAGAAATTGAGGTCAGTCACCTATGCTAGCAGCGGCGCTTTCTGAGAGAATGGTAAACACTGGCGGGAGACGTACCTGTGAGGGCCGAACGGGTGCGGACGCTTTGAAATGAAACCTGAAGATGATGCAGCACTAAACTTTTGGATGCTGCCCTATTAGCTGGAGTGGGTGTGCAATTAGAGCCCCCGCAGAGGCTGACATTCAAACGCCGCTCGAGTGTGCTGTCCTGCTGCTGTTTGAAGATGCACTTAGACACACTAGATGAGACCAGAGCACATTCACATGCGCTTTACGTTTTGTCAGAGGAATTGCGCCGCACTTTAATAGTTGGAAAATGTTTTTAAAGGTTCCAGTGAGCCCACTTGTGATGTCAGTCAGGGTTTCTTGTAACAACAAAAGGCATAATTTTGATTCAAATTTCAAAGGATTTTATACTCTTTCTCTGACCCTTATAACCTGAAAAAAAAAGGATCAGATCTTCTATTCTATTCAGATGATTTTGGTGCTACTGTACCTTTAAGACACTCTTATAATTACCAGGATGGCATTCATGAAAGCAAACCAGGTTTCTAAACACTTAATAGGCGTTGATGTATGCATTTTTTTTTTCATTTAATAGCAAGATAAACAGACAAAGACAAAGTAATAAAAATGGCATATCCTTTCTATGAGCTATAGAAATAAGGTCATTAGAGTAGATGGCATACTGAACTGTGATATATTAAAAAGAGTGAATGAATGAATGAATGAATTCATGTTTTCTTTCACTTCAAATCGATACAGATTTCACAATTTGATTCAATTCTAATTCACAAGCTCTAATTATTTTATTTTATTTTTTTATTTTTTTTCAATCTGGATTCAAATATGATTAAATTGGAAATATTACATGTACAGGTCCATTTTTCTTAGGGAAAAATCTCAGCTAATGCTGTAAATTACATAGGAAACCTTATAATATTGAAGTTTTGAATTAAATGGCTATTTATTTTTTATTTTTATTTTTTATTTTATTTTTTATTTTTTTATATAATCAACACAGTTGTATACAGTCTAGGGCAATAATCACACATTTCTGTGATTCATCATGGCTGATCGCACTAAACATCAAAATTTGTAATCATATATATGTTTTCACATTGAATCTCCTACTTAATGTGGAAACAACATAAAGACATTATTTTAAATATTTGTTTCTTATCAAAAGTAACCAAGCACAGCTGGTGCACTACAAATAATGTTCAATAAAGTTTTATGGCAACACTTTACAATAAGGTTCAATTAGTTAATGTTAATGTATTAACTAACATGAACAATGAACAATAAATGTATTAGAGTATTTGTTAATCTTTGTTAATGTTAAAGGGGTCATATGATGCTTTTTTAAAGATTAATAACAAAACATACTTACAGTAGCTGATTCAGAAGCACCAGATTGTCATAGCAAAGTCAGAATTACCTCCTCTCCTAAGTTCATGAAACGGTCGTCCATAAAATGCATTGCTGTTCTGCTGTAAGTAATCTTAAAAATTCCTAAATGCATCTACTTTCGGAAGGCCAAACAAAGTGCTTTTGCTTTCGCCTAGAAACACACAGCGTTTTCCTGACATGGCTGCTTCAACACTAACTGCGGTTACTGAAACCACGCCTTCTTAACTTTGAGTCTTAACTTTGATAAAGAATATCTCTTTGTCATGCTATACGTAATTATTTGTCATGCTATACGTGCATTCAGACGATGGCGGTGTTGAAGCCATTCTTTTGTTTGCCGTCAAACGGTTGACCACTGCCGTGTGTGTATCCTGTCGCAAAATGTGGTGAAAAGTCCTACACGGCGGTAATAATGTGATTAAGGTGTGTACATGTCTTTACTGCACTTAAATAATGCAACTAAAATAGGAATACTCCACATGTCTTAATTCGATTAGTGTTTACTTCGATTATGACTTTAGCCGGATTAAGGTAATCAAAAATCTCTGTTTACATGGTAGATTCTTAATCAGAGTATTGTCTTAATTGTATTAAAATCTGAGTATTGTTGTCCATGTAAACGTACTGACTGTGCAACTGCTTTGACATCATCTGTATTGTATAAAGAGCTGTAGAAATAAAGGTGACTTGACTAGACTAAAAGATCATTCTTGAGATTTAATAATCAGTATAAAGAAGTTCATGGTTGTGATGTCATAACCACGCAGATTTCTCAGTCATTTATGTAGATTTGTCGTACACCGCTGCTGTTTTCCCCTTTAATAGCAAGGTGAACAAGGTTTTCTGATTATCCTCATGTTAATGTGCTGTATAAGCAGTGGTGATGTTCACACAGGTCCAGTGGTTAGGACCGACAGCGGGGGGGGGGGTTTGGGTTAATGGTTCCACTTGCCTGGTGTTGACTGTGTCCAGGTTTCATTAGTCACAGACTGGAGCTAGAAGAGCGTCAGGCCTCTGAAGAGGTCTGTGATAGATTTAGCTGATTCAGACCTGTGCAGACAGACAGACGGATCAATAAACTGCTGGACTCGACCCACTGCTACATCACCTCAGGTCCAGACTGCATGCTGGAAACACGGGACCAGATGCATGTATGTGTGTGTCTGTGTAGAGATCATAGCTTCACGTCTTAAACCCAAGAATGACGAGTGCGGCTTTTATTCATGAAATCTATCAGGATGGCTCTTGCTGCTGTGGTTAACCATCTGTTAGCGGTGGGCGGTATGACCAAAATCTTATATCACGGTGTGAGGAATTTTATATCATTTATCTGGTAATTGTATATGTATCACAGAAATCCAATGCAAAATGTTTTATAACACAACCATAATGGCTCTTTTTGACAATCAAGTGAATTAAATACTTTACAAATTAAACTCATTTGATTATTTTATTTCTTGGAGCAACTTCAAAAACAGATTCTAATGGTGTAACACGACTCAAGGCTGTAACACATTGTTCTGTGTGAGTGTTCTCTATTCTATATTAATTCTCGTCTACAACCGATGCGAGCAGTGCCGTCGCCACATGAAATAACTAAATAGCTCAAATGTAAATCAAATAAAGCTGCCTACAATGGAAGTGCTTGTCTGCAACAGTCTGCGTAGTTCATAGAAGTGTTGTCACAATACTGGAACTTCTCATTATGATACAATACCTTGAAAATATTGATGTATGAAACCATTTTCGATGCCACTGGGGGAAAATGCCATTCATAAAGACTAAAGGCCCGTTCACGCCAAGAAGTTATAAGTTCTAAAAGTCATTCTCAATATTAAAGAATAGCAGAGTTCACACCACAGCTATAATGATAAAGGCACAGAGAAACGATATCGTTGTAATCACTTTCAGAACGATTTTTTTTTCCAGCTGATGAACGATAAAAACAATGACAGCCAATCAGAATCAATCCTGCTGTGACGAGCTCAAGAATTTAAAGCAGCAGATGCGCGTGTGCTTAGAATAAACAGACGATACCGTTGACTGGTGTGTACGCTAATATCGTTATCTTTATAGTTATCTTTATAGTTATCGTTCTTGGTGTGAACGGGGCTTTAAGGTTTGTTACTAGGGCTGCACGATTTGAAAAAAAAAATCGAATTTGTTTATTTTGGTGGATAACCGATTGAATCTTTCTAATTTCTCCTTTGTTGTCAACAAATTTATAAATGCTTCTGTGAAATATTTGGTGCGATGTAAAATGTGTTATAAGTGACGCAAACTCACGGCTCTTGCAGATATGGAAATTGTGTGAAGCAGCATTAACAGCGAACCAAGCCGCTCTGAGACACTGAAATCATTATCACGTGCTGCTCACGTGCAAATGAACACAGTGCTGCGCTTCACTCTGAAATACAAGCATGTATTGTTGGAATCGCATTGAGAACAATTTTTCCAGCTGAACAGCATAACTATAGTGCTGGCTTAAAGCACACTGGTGTGGATTTTGATATAGTTATCATTATAGTTATTATTCGGGCCTTTAAGGAAGTACTTTCTGTATGAGATGCGGGATATGTACACACATAAAGGTGGATGCACTGCTCTCTCTAAACTCACAACACTTGCAGAGATGGAGATTGTATGAAGCAGCATTTACTGCAAACCAAGATGTTCCGAGACACTGAAATCATTGCTATCATGAGCTGCTCACATGCAAATGAACACAGTGCTGCACTTCACTCTGAAACACGCATTCATTTAAAATCACAGCCTTTGGGAAACAGTGCCATGCAGTGATGTTGATTTTATTTCAATTAATCATTCAGCTCTTAATGTTACTATAACGATGACTGTAACTATAAAGTTTTAATCATTCCGCTTCTATGAGAATAGCAAAGACCACACCACAACTATAACAATAATAACACTGAGGACCAATATTGTTGGAATCACTTTCAGAGCAACATAACTGCAGTGCTGGCTTAAAATAAACAGCACATTGTCATGCATTGGTGTGGACGTTGATATAGTTGTCATTATAGATATCGTGGCGTGAATGGGCCTTTAATTAAATACTTTCTGTGAGTGTGTGTGTATTATAGATGAGTTGTGGGATATGTACACACAATGAGGTGAATGCACTGCTCTCGAGGCTACAGTCACACTATAACTCCATATTTAAATCTCCCAGCAAAAAGGTGGAGTGATACATTTAGTAACATTTCTGTGCGTCCCACGGGC